TCTACATAACTGTAAGGAAAGTATCGTATCTTTGAACTTTCTATACACCGTAAACTACTGTTATCTACATAACTGTAAGGAAAGTATCGTATCTTTGAACTTTCTATACACCGTAAACTACTGTTATCTACATAACAGTAAGAAAAGTATCGTATCTTTGAACTATTTCTATACACCGTAAACTACTGTTATCTACATAACTGTAAGGAAAGTATCGTATCTTTGAACTTTCTGTACACCGTAAACTACTGTTATCTACATAACTGTAAGGAAAGTATCGTATCCTTGAACTTTCTGTACAGTGTATTATTATTATTTCTGTAATTTATCCATCCTGTATTCACAAGAGGCACTTGATGTAAATATATCTAATTGTATATGTCACCTGTAGTTTATATCTGTTCATGTGAAATGTATATAAGTTTATTGTAAAAAATCTGTTACACAAGAACTGTTAAAGGTAAATTTTACCATTTATTTTAACTATTGCTGCCATAAACCCCAATTTTTTTTTCCCCTCAAACATTATTTAAGGTTGTTCACAAAAGATTGTTATAATAATTACATGTAAGTAAATGAAACAGATTTGATATTATATCGGAAGAACTGTCACAAAAACTTTTAAACTGTCTTGTGATCACTAATTGAGCTAACATTATGTCTTCATTATCTTATTTATTTAATGATTTATTTGAGAAATCAATTCATTTTTTGGAAAACTTAATTTACTAATAAAGAAAAATACAAACATAATTACATGGATCATTTATTAAATATTTCAGAATGTTTAAAATTCCATATTCAGTAATCTAAAGATGGAATCTTGAAGATTCTGAAACATTTGATAAATGATTCACATGATTAAGTTCGTGTTTTTCTTTATTATTTATTTTGTTTGTCTACATACTGAATAATACATATTTCAAAACTTCACTAAAATATATTGATTTAAAGAAACGAGAGTTTGCTCTGTTTATAGGCATTTTTGATTTCATAAAATGTTATACTTATTTGTAAATGTTCCTTACCTGCATGCAGAAATCAGTTTTTAGACACTTAGTATTCATATGCATTGTTTGTACTACATTGTTTTTGATGGTTCATATTAAACATAGTTTATATAAAAAAAAAAAATTGGTGATCTTTATAGTCTAATTTGTATTCTGTTAAATATAAAAATTTAGCTGAATTGTTTTTTTATTCAAATGTAAGTGTAACAATGAGTATGTAATACTGCATTTAATTTTCATGCATCGTCCCTGTATCTATTGCTTTATTGGTCAAATATAGGTGTAATTTTACAAGTATGTTTTAGAAGGTTAGGGAAATTTGAAAAATATACTTTTTTTCTGTAAGCTAGGAAAAAAGTCTATGACTGCTAACAAGATGAAATAGCAAAATTTGTCATAATTTATGCATCAAGATTATGTACCAAAGATTTGTTTATTTACATTTTCTGTGATGCAGATAAACTATCATTAGAGTTGAGGTTTTAAGGTAATTTATTGTTTATGATTTAAGCTATGTCATTCACGTATAGTGGTTTCTTGTGTTGTTTTTTGTCAGCATTGTATATTACAAAGTTTGAATAAAGCTTACATAAAAAAGAAATAAGTCCATTACGAGATATTTAGTACCACAAACTTTTATTTTATCAAAAATATATCTGTGTCTTAACACATTATACATAACAAAAGCAGCTAGTTTTATGAATGTTAAATGCTCTTGAAACATTTCATAAGAGTGAAAAAATTTAGGTTTAACAGATAATTCATTTAAGCATAATAATTTTCAAAAATTTGAAAGTATATATTTTGTTAATGAAGAATTCATGTAAATGCTCTTAAATCTCTTTTTTTGTAAATAAACTTCCATTTTGATGTTCGTTTGTGAAATGTTTAGATGTGTTAAATGAGTAACTCTCACTATCCGACGTCTTCATTCATATCATACACACCTTATTTATAATCACAGAGTTTTTACTATAAATATGAACTATCATACATTACAAATATATCTTCAACAAAGTAATTTCAGAAGGTACATCAAATTACCGTCAATGTACAATTTTAAATCTTTATGGAAGTTTTTTTACTGAATTAAAATAGGCTATTAATTTGTTGATATTATTTAAAGTAATATTTTTAAGGTATACATTCACTTTGATGTAGTACTGGGTTTACAGTTGTAGTTGTGCAATGAAGCTAGATATTAAAAAAAAGGTAAGGTTTTATCAAGTGAGCCCAGGTGGTTATGGAGCTCGACTCGCAATCTGCGGGTTGCAGGTTCGAATCTCCGTCACACCAAACATGCTCGCCCTCTTAGCCGTGGGGATGTTATAATGTGACGGTCAATCCCACTATTCGTTGGCAAAAGAGTTGGCGGTGGGTGGTGATGACTAGCTGCCTTTCCGTCTAGTCTTAGGGACGGCTAGCGCAGATAGCCCCCCTGTAGCTTTGCACAAAATCCATAACATAACATTTTATGAAGTGTAGCAGCTTTTTATTTTATGAAGATCTAAATCACAGATTATTCACATATAATTAATTGGAAGATATTTTATCACATACAAAAACTTTCAAAACGAATTATGAAGAAACAAGTGTTTCTATTTTTTTTTATAACGTTGAAATAAGTTAACTATAAAATGATTAAACACCTATTATTATTTACGTAATTATAATCAGAATAAATAATTAAAACCACTTATGATTTCACAAATAAATGCAGCTAACACAAAATTCACGTATAAGAACTATTTTGTTGAGAAATAATATTGAACTCAAACATTTAGTAATATCCACAAAGTCTGGATGTAGTTTAACTATACAAATCAAATGCCCGAGCGTGGCCCAGTAGTTAGTATGTCAGGCTAGGAATATGCGGGTTCGTCGATTGTTTGTTTTGAATTTCGTGCAAAGCTACACGAGGGCTACCTGCGCTAGCCGGACATGATTTAGCAGTGTAAGACTAGAGGGAAGGCAGCTAGTCAACTCTTGGGCTACTCTTTTACCAACGAATAGTGAGATTGACTGTCACATTATAACGCCCCCACGGCTGAAAGGGCGAGCATGTTTGGTGTGACGAGGATTCGAACCCGCGACCCTTAGTTTGCGAGTCGAGCGCCTTAACTACCTGGCCATGCATGGCCTAGGGTTCGTAGATCACGCTCCGTTACGTAAATATAAAACCATGCTCTGGAGTTTTGGACTAAATTATAATTACTCATTCAGATAAGAATATTGTAGGTAACCTTCTGTGTAGTTTTGTGTGAATGTCCAAAATCAAACTTTTCAAAAATAACAGGCGAAATATGTTTTCTTTCATTTTGAAGTAACAATTCACGGGCATTCAAGTTGTCATGACTTCAAGACATTATTGAAAACAATAAGTTCATGTTTTTCGCTCGGTGTGGTGTAGACCCTAAAGCAACGCCGTGTCTTTCTCTAGGACATTACATACTTACGAATATTCCAGTTGGGGACCAACCTATATATATTCTTTGTGTGCATTAAAAGACAGAAAGAAGGAGAGAAGAAAAACACAGAAAAAAGCTGTGTTTCTCTCTCTTTGTGTGGTCCAGTCTAATCACTACAACTTCAGTAAACCAATCACATCTCAATATTCCATACCATATTATTTATTTGTCATAAATACTCATCTTGTGATATAACATTTGTGTACGTGATTAACACGCTCGCTGCCACATAATAAATTAAATTAAACATTTAAGAAGTGCCAAGGAACAGTTACGGTGTCCCAAACTCGTATGAGAAATTTGGCTTTGAAACATAATTGTCTGTGACCTACCGATGTGTCACGTGGTCCATAACTAAAAGTCTATCGTGACGCACCAGTGGAGCATGTGGCAGCGAACGTGTTAAATATGAACGAAGTGATCTATATAAATGTAAGACATTTCTGTACTCGTGCACCCAAACGTCCATCTTAATGTTACATATTAATCAATGTATATTTGTGCTACATGATATCACAGGCCATCCTTGGATCTTTAGCCACTGAAATCGGCTCGCATTTTCCACGCATACGTTAAAACGTGCATAAAATCTTTCAGTTGCTATCTGCAGCTTAGAGGGCCGGGCGTGATCTACTGATTAATGTACTGCACCGTGAATCCGATGGTTCGCGTCGCTTTACCGCAAAAAAAAACTCTCTCTCCACATTTTGGGTGCGTTATAAAAATGACGGTCAAATCTCATCTGTTCGATTAGAATAGCCCAAGAGTTGGTAATGAATAGCTGTCTTCCCTCTAATTTATCAGTTCCAAATTAGGAACGACTAGCGTAAATGGTTTTTATGTAGCTTTGTGCAAATATCCGAAACAGAAACCTTTTCTTGAATATGTATCGTAAGATGATTACTAACATGTGTATCTGGGATTGTAAGAACCCGCAATAGGACTTTAGTCTGACTTAAAAGTGAAATACAAACCAAACCGTTTTGGTTTTTATTGGATGA